CCCACCTTGGCCACCCAAAGTGCTGGGATTACAGGCATGAGCCAGCATACCTGGCCACAAATTACATCTTTATATGTTGTATTACCCCTTAACATAGACTTAGTTTTTTTTTTTTTTTAATACTTTTGTCTTTTACTTTCTATGCAAGAATTAAAAATCAATTTATGTACCAAGATTACAATAATATAGGCTACTTACTATATTTGTCCATTTATTGGCCTTTAACACAGAATGTTATACTTTTATATGGCTTCATGTTGCTGTGTAGCATGCTTTCATCTCAATCTGAAGAACCCTCTTTAGTATTTTTTATAGGGCAGGTCTAATGGTTACTGAACTCCCACAACTATTGTTTATCTGAGAAAGTCTTAATCTCTCCTTTAACTTTGAAGGATAGTTTAGCTGGATATAGTACTCTTGGTTAACAGTTTTGGGTTTTTTTGCACTCACATCTTTGAATGTATCATCCCACTGCATGCTGGCCTGTAAGGTTTCTGCTAAGAAATCTGCTGAAATTCTTATAGAACTCCCTTGAATGTGATAAGTTGCTTTTCTATTGTCAATTTCAAGCTTATCTTTGTATTTTACTTTTCACAATTTGATGATAATGTATCTTAGAGTGGGTGTCTTTGGAATTGTCCTCTCTGGAGTTCCTTGAGTTTCCTAAATTTGTATGCCCATTTCTTTCCTCAAGAAAAGGCAAGTTTGGGAAGTTTTAAGCCATTATTTCTACAAATAAGCTCTCTGTCACTTCTTCTCTCTTCTCACTCTGAGACTTACATCATGCATATACTGGTTCACTTGATCTCTTTGCTCCTCTGACATAATTTTATTATTTTGTTATAGCTTTTTGTAGACATGGGGTCTATGTTGACCAGGCTAGTCTTGAACACCTGGCTTCAAGTGATCCTCCTGCTTTGGCCTCCTAAAACACTGAGATTACAGGTGTAAGCCACTGTGCCCGGCCTCTGACTCAATTTTAGATTATTTGTCTTCAAGTGTGTTGATGTTTTCTTCTGCGTAATCAAGTCTGCTCTTGACTTTAATAGTTCATATATTGTATTCTTCAGCTCCAGAATTTTTATTTGGTTCTTTCTTATAATTTATATCTTCTAGTTTATATTGTAACTTTGTTCTTGCATCATTTTCCTGATTTTGCTTAGTTTTTTGCATTCTCAGTTTTTAAATTATCTGTCACAGTTTTTAAATCATCTAACACAAAGCTCAGCGTTCTGCATTTCTTTAGGGTCAGTTTCTGAAGCTTTGTTTTCGTTTTTTATTTGATCAATGTCCCTGTTGCTTTGTATGCCTTCTGATCCTTTTTGAATGGGTATTTGACCATTTGAAAAAATGGAAAACAAATAACTTTCGGAATCTTTACAACTGGCTTCATACAGGGAAACACTTTCATGAACCAGCCCAGCTAGAGGTTTGGGGACCACCCAAATTTTTCTGCGAGATGTGCCTTCTTTGGGCTTGCATGTGTGTTTTTGACAGTCTTAATTTCCCTAGCAACTTATCGCTGTTGCTTCTCAGAAACCCATAATCTGTGTGTCCCTCTGACCTCTTCCAGCAGAAGTGTAGATCTCTTAAGATCTTATGTGCTGCAGCAATCATGTCTGTTTCCTGCAGCTTTCCAACTATGCTACCATTCCCTTCAGCACTCTGAGTGAGATGAGACGTATACCAGTTCTGTGGGCAGACTTTGGATAGGCCAAAATATTGAACACATAGTCCATTACTTTGTTTCTGTCCCAAGGGAGAAGGTAGGGTATAGGAAATTTCCTCCTGGTTGCATTGCACTCTACTGGGTGGGGAACACACATGCAAAATACCACAAACTTTCCCACTCCTTTTGAAATCGTCCCTTCTTTTTAATGCTTTAGCTTGAATGCTACAGCTTCTCAACTGGTCTTTACAATTCTCACAAACATGTCCTGGTCATTATATTCAAATTAACTGGGTGTTTCCATGGAGGAATAAGGGCCTGAAACTTCCTACTCTAACATGTTGATGATGTGGGTCCTACAGCCAAATTTTACAATCATTACTTGTAACACATAGCACCTTCCACTTCAGGTTGTATTGAATTTTTCTATCTCAATTTCTTTGATAATATTCCACCCTTAAGTCACTGAATCACACAAGAAAATTAGTCTTATAAGGTATACCCAGTATATCAAATTTACTCCTCAGTGGCTTTATGTGTTTTTAAATATTAAATCCATCCTCAAATGATAATGAGTTGTAACTGTGATCAAATATACAAAAAAAAAAAAAAAATCTGTCAGAAGTTTCCAAAGGTTATTTCTGAAAAGATTATTTTGCTAAAATATTAAGTTATGCTAGTATTCTGAGAATAAATATAATTCTTGCCCAGGTGGTTAACAGAGTTCTATAACAACAGCAAAAAAAGGGTTTTAAGATAAGCTTGCATTATTTAAAATTACAAATTTTACATCTTCCTAAAGAGATGTGAATACCTGCTTGTGATGGCCACAAGAAAGTAATTTGTTAATTGGGTACTACTTATCCTTCTATTATCATATTTAAAAGATTACTTATATACCTTAAAACTGCTCTACCTTTATTAATACATAATAAGTTGCAAACAGTATTTGAATTGAAAGATCTAGGCTCAACAGAAACTGCAAATCCTGAACACATCAACAGACAACTTTTTATTTAGAGATGTTAAAATGAATCCTGAGAAATACATGTGCTGAATATTATTCTCATATGTCATTAGACTAATATAAAAACACAGTATTACATGATCCTGATTTCATTTTTTTTCCTCAGACAGGGTCTTACTCTATTACCCAGGCTGGAGTGCAATGGTGCAATCACAGCTCACTGCAGCCTCAACCTCCCCAGGTTCAGGAGATCCTCCCACCTTAGCCTCCCAAGGAACTGGGACTACAGGTGCGCACCACCATACCTAGCTAATTTTGCATTTTTCGTAGAGGTCGGGTGTCACCATGTTGCTCAGGCTGATCTCAAACTCCTAGGCTCAAGCAATCCTCTCACTTCAACCTCTCAAAAGTGTGAGGATTACAGGTTAAGAGCCATGTAATCCACCGTGCCCAGCCCTCATCTAGTTCTAACAATAAAATTTCTCTGCAGAACTTTAATACTGCAGGACTTCCTAATTAGCAGTTACTTCTAAAATAAGGCTAGATGTAGGGAAATAATTGATGTAGGTACTAAGAGACAAAATTGTAAACAAAGGTGTATTTGTGTCCTATTGCTGCCATAACAAATATCACAAACTTAATATTTAAACAACACAAATTTAATATTTTACAATTCTGTAGGTTCAGAAGTCTAATGTGGGTCTCAGCCAGTCAAAATCAAGGTATCTACTGAGCTGTGTTCCTTTCTGGAGGCTAAGAAAGGATCCATTTCTTTGCTCATTTAAGTTGCATGCAGAATCCAGTTTGCTGCAGTTAGAGCACTGAGATTTATGTCCTTTGTGACTGTCAGCTGAGGGTAATTCCCAGCTTCTAGAATATATCTGATGGCTGGCGTGGTGGCTCACACCTGTAATCCCAGCACTTTGGGAGGCCAAGGCAGGCAGATCACGAGGTCAAGAGATCGAGACCATCCTGGCCAACATGGTAAAACCCCATCTCTACTAAAAATATAAAAATTAGCTGGCCATGGTGGCATGTGCCTGTAGTCCCAGCTACCTGGGAGGCTGAAGCAGGAGAATCACTTGAAGCCAGGAGGTGGAGGTTGCAGTAAGCCGAGATTGCACCACTGCACTCCAGCCTGGTGACAAAGCGAGACTGTCACAAAAAAAAAAAAAAAAAAAAAAGATATCTGAATTCCATGTCTCATGGACCTCGTTCTCCATCTTCAAAGCCAGTAAGAGTGGGTTGAGTCTCTTTATCTACTCTTTTGATTCCTTCAGGTTTAAAGAGTTTATATGATTACTGGGGCCACTCACATAATCCTAGATAACCTCCCCATTTTAAGGTCAGCTGATTAACAACTTTAATTCCCTTTTGCCATGTGCTATGGTTTGAATGTTTGTTCCCTCCAAAACTCATGTTGAAACTTAATTCCCAATAGGACAGTATTGGGAAGTGGGGCCTTTAAAAGGTGACAAGGTCTGGGCACAGTGGCTCACACCTGAAACAATGACAACACTTTGGGGGGCCAAGGCAGGAGGACTGCTTGAAGCCAGAAGTTCAAGACCAGCCTGGGCAATGAAGCGAGGTCCGATCTCTATTAAAATTTTTTCTTAAATTAGCTGGGCAAGGTGGTATATGCCTGTAGTCCCAACCTCTCAAAGGGCTGAGGCAGGAGGACTGCTTGAGGCTAGGAGTTTGGAGGCTGCAGTAAGCAATGACTGGGCCACTGCACTCCAGCCTACGTGACACAAGGAGATACCATTTCTAAAAGAAAACCTTTTCAAAAGAGGTGACTGGGTTATGGGGGATGTCCTCAGGAGAGGATTAATTCATCCATGGGTTAATGGATTATCATGGGAATTAGACAGGTGGTTTTATAAGAGGAAGAGAGACCATCGCTAGCATGCTCAGCCCTCTAGCCATGTGATACCCTGGCATCACCTCTGGACTCTGCAGCAGACCAGCAAGAAGGGCCTTATCAGAGGCAGTCCCTCAAATTTGTTTTTTGTAACTTTTTTTTTAAACAGAGTCTTGCTCTGTCACCCAGGCTGGTGTACAGTGGTGCAATCTCAGCTCACTGCAACCGCCCCCTCCCAGATTCAAGCATTTCTCCTGTCTCAGCCTCCTGAGTAGCTGGGATTACAGGCATGTGCCATGATGCCCAGCTATTCTATTTTTAGTAGAGATAGCATTTCGCCATGTTGGCCAGGCTGCTCTTGAACTCCTGACCTCAGGCGATCCACCTGCCTCAGCCTCCCAAAGTGCTGGGATTACAGGCATGAGCCACCACGCCTGGCCCTGGCTTTTCGTTTGTTCATCTTCACATATTCTGAGTCACATATTTCAAATAATAAAACAAACCTTTACACACTTTTCCTGAATATCATTTTTCTGGGAAGCAAATTTGAGTTGTGGTTTTTTACCATCCATTCCAGATTCGTCATGTTTCACTTTGCTAAGATGATGATCTGCAATCCAGTCCATGAAGAGAGTTAAAAGTTCATAAACTTGCCCATTAAGTGGTACCTATATGTCAAAAATTAAATCATTTATTTCAGTTCACAACTTCATAAAACTTCAAAGACAAGCCTTAAATTTTGTAAGTAATTAAAGAATAATTTGACTAAAGTAATTCATTAAAATATGTTAAGAACAGAGCTTCTCCAAACAAAAGAAATTCCAAATCAAACCTCCCCAGCTGGCCAGGTGTAGCGGCTCACATCTGTAATCCCAGCAATTTGGGAGGCTGAGGCAGGTGGATCACCTGAAGTCAGGAGTTCAAGACCAGTCTAGCCAACATGGTGAAACCCTGTCTTTACTAAAAATACAAAAATTAGCCGGGCATGGTGGCACATGTCTGTAATCCCAGCTACTAGAAAGCTGAGGCAAGAGAACAACTTGAACCCAGGAGGTGGAGGTTGCAGTGAGCCAAGATCATGCCACTGCATTCCAGGCTGGGCAATAGAGCGAGACTCCACCTCAAAAAAACAACAACAACAACAACAAAGAAAATCTCACTAATATTAAAAACAATGTAAACGATAACTGAGAGAAGGCAAGAAAAGCAATCATAATTAGGAAGTTGAAATAGCTGCACCTTATTACTAAACTTTTCATAAAACATCTTTGACCAAGTTTGGTAAGATGGAAAAAAAAAAAAAAAGAAAAATTAGTGGCTCGTGGTGGCACATGCCTGTCATCCCAGCTATTCAGGAGGCTGAGGCAAGAGGATCTCTTGAACTCCAGAGGCGGAGGTTGCAGTGAGTCAAGATCGTGGCACATGTTTAACTATGTTACAAACCTATACATCCTGCACACGTACTCCTGAACTTAAAAGTTGGACATAGAAAAAGGAAAAGAAATTTGGAAAAAAAAAAAAAAAGTAAAATTAGTGGCTAGATGCAGTGGCTCATGCCTGTAATCCCAGCACTTGAGAGGCCAAGGTAGGCGGAAAACCAGGTCAGGAGAGTGACACCATCCTGGCCAATATGGTGAAATCCGGTCTCTACTAAAATACAAAAAATTAGCTGGCATGGTGGTACACCCCTGTAGTCCCAGCTACTTGGGAGGCTGAGGCAGGAGAATCGCTTGAACCCAGGAGGTGGAGACTGCAGTGAGCTGAGATCACACCACTGCACTCCAGCTTGGTGACAGAGCGAAACTCAGTCTCTCAGTCTCAGAAAAAAAAAAAAAGTAAAATTAGTCTTAACTCAAAAGCATGAACCACCACAATTAAAAGACTGTAAAAAAAAATTAAAGGTTTTCAGAGCCAAAGAATTTCCACTATGAAACTTCCTTTTTCTTCTCACAAAAATTGTTAGTCTTTGCAGTATAACATTCAGTACACATGATATGAACATTTTTTTCCTAGCAATCTTGCTTGTCCTCTGAGGGCCTACCAAAATGAAAAGTAAAAGAACAAAGTACTTTATAAATTTAATTAGATTAATTTTAAGTATTATTACAAAACGCATTTCTAATTTAATTCAGTATTTTTCTTAGTAAGATACCACTATACATAGCCACCTTAAGCAGGGAACTATGTTAAATTTAGTTTTTTAAAAATCTTCAGGCCGGCACAGTGGCTCACGCCTATAATCCCAGCATTCTGGGAGGCCAAGGTGGGTGGATCACCTGCGGTCAGGAATTTGTGACCAGCCTGGGCAACATGGTGAAACCACATCTCTACTAAAAATACAAAAATTAGCCAGGTGTGGCAGTGGGCACCTGTAATCCCAGCTACTCGGGTAGCTGAAGCAGAAGAATTGCTTGAACCCAGGAGGCGGGTTGCACTGAGCCAAGATTGTGCCACTGCACTCCAGGCTGGGCAACAAGAGCAAGACTCCATCTCAAAAAAAAAAAAAAAAAGAAAGAAATCTGCAAAGACAGACTAGGTGTGGTAGCTCGAGCCTATAATCCTAGCCCTCTGAGAGGCTGAGGTAGGAGGACTGCCAGACATTTAATATCAGCCTGGGCGACACAGCAAGACCGTGTCTCTACAAAAAATACAAAAGTTAGCTCAGTGTAATGGTGTATGCCTACAGTCTTAGCTACTTCGGAGGCGGGGGTGGGAGGATCACGTGAACTCAGGAATTCAAGGCTGCAGTGATCAAGCCACTGCCTTCCAGCCTGGGTGGCAGAGGCAGACCCTGTATCTAAAAAACAAAACAGGCAGGGCTTGGTGGCTCATGTCTGTAATCCCAGCTCTTTGAGAGGCGGAGGCAGGTAGATCACCTGAGGTGAGGAGTTTGAGATCAGCCTGGCCAACATGGTGAAACTCCATCTCTACTAAAAATACAAAACTTAGCCAGGTGTGGTGGTGGGTGCCTGTAATCCCATATCTTCAGGAGGCTTGAACCCAGGAGGCAGAGGTTGCCGTGAGCCAAGATGGTGCCATGGCACTCCAGCCTGGGTGACAGAGCAAGACTCCATCTCAAAAAAAAAAAATTAAAAATAATAATTTAAAAAATAAAAAATTTAAAAGACTTCAAAGACAGAGAAATATAAAAGCAAACCAATAAAAAGGCAACGTTAAGCAGATGGCAATCTACAAAATCAGAATGAGATGACTAAAGACAAAATGATAAATAGTAGCATTACCACATTATTCTGAAGAGCAATTTTTCACTTTAATTTTTTCAAATAGAAACTACCTCCCTTTAGACGAAAAATTATCTTAAGTTCCTGAATATAAAATCTTTACCTTTTCAATTTACTCCAATTTTCTCAATTTATAAAGAACTAGAAAATTTGTCAAAATATCAAAATGATCAAAGCCCATAAGATACTACCACACATCCACTGGAAGGGTCAAAATGGACAAAATTGAAAACACGAAATGTTGACAAGGCTGTGGAGGAACCAAAAGTTTGATATACTATTAATAGGAATATAAAACAGTACAACCAATTTGGAAAACTGTCAGTTTCTTAAAAACATACATCTACCTTTATCTACCCTATGACCCAGAAATTATAGTCCTGGTATACCCAAAAGAAATGAAAACATATTCCATAAAAACCCTATACATCAATATTCATAGCAGCTTTAATTACTGCAGACAAAATTAGAAGAAAGCTGAGATGTCTATCAACAGAAGAATGAACAAACTCTGATACAGTCATGCTACTGAGCAATAGTAAGGAACCAACTATTGATACACTCATAATTATGCTGAGAAAAAGTCTTACATAAACAAGTACACACAAAACAATGCCACTGACAAAATGTCTCAAATAGGCAAAACTAACTTATGGTAATGTAAATCAGATCAACGGCTTCTGGCAGAAAAGCATGACTAGAAAACGGCACTACAGAACTTTCTAGGATAGTGGAAATATTCTATATTTGGTTGCAGGCAACATGAAATATTTATCAGAATTAAACTTTACACTGAAGGATTTGTGCATTATGTTACCATATGTAATTTATACCTCAAATTTTAAAAATTCTTAGTAAAACTAAGATACACGGAAATCCATTCAGGGATGGATTGCAATCTTGACTGAATATAATAGCAAATGCTTGTGGAGTGTCAAAACATATTAAGCAATAAAGCCACTAATGGTGTGTCAATGATGGTACCTGAAACACTGCTGTAATAGAATTTGTTTTTGCAAATGAAAGTATATTCTTGAGGTATTTCCCGGTTAAAAAATTATTATGGTGAATCCTTTCCAGAGCAAACATTCCAAAAAGAAAAAAATCAAAGAGAAAAGATTAAAGCATCAGATAAATCTTCCTGGCTTCCCACTGGAGAAATTTTAAATCACATCATACCTTGTAAGTTTTTGAAACTGGTGCTTTTTCTTGTTTTAAACTTTTCATTTCATGAACAGCATGGGAACTTCCTTTTAATCTCTGTATTGTCATAAATTCATACTTCCTCTGCAATAGCACATATGTATGAATTAAAGAACAATTGTATCAAAACAAGTAAACTCAAAGGCAATCATTTAAAAATATACTTGTGTCTCTAGAGAAGAACAGGCAACTTACCTGTAAATTATCTAAACGAGCTTGAACTCTTTTAGCCTGAATCTCCATCTTCCTGTTTTCTTCACTTGCTTCATTTAACTAAAGGATAGAAAACGTTAAATATTTCAATACAAATCTTCAACTGGTTTCATACTAAGGGTTTCTCAATCTACTATCTAATCTGGTCGATACTGCCAACCAGTGTAACAAATACAGATAGTATTCATGATTACATTAGATCACAACTGAAGTCACCATTTTTCCCTAAAATATTAATGGTTTCTAAGATAATTTACTTCATTTTATGAAAAATGTGCAAGACTCCACATGTCTTAAAAACATATACATATATTTTATAAAAATAAAATGTTTTTATTAAGTAAAATTGCTATTTGAACTATAACATATATAAAGAAAAGTGTAAAATCCTAAGTATGCAATGGAATGAGCTATAACTGGAATCATATTACTGGGATTATGTGTGTATTCATGTCTGTGTATATACTTATATGTATATACATGGAAGAACTGACATCTTTACAATATTGAGTCTTCCCTTCCATGAACATATCTTCAATTTATTTAGGTCTTATTTTCTTTTAATAATGTTTTGTAGTTTTCAGTAGAGATGTCTTGCACATCTCTCTTTAGATTTATTCCTGGGTATCCAATGATTTTTTAATGAAATTACTTATGGTACCTTACAATCAAATTTGTGATCTATATACACCATGAATAGAATAGTATGTGGCCATAAAAAAGAATGAAATCATGTCTTTTGCAGCAACATGGACGGAGCTGGAGGTCATTAATCCTAAGAGAAATAACTTAGAAAATCAAATATTCCATGTTGTCATTTATAAGTCAAAGATAAACAATACACATGGACATAAAGATGGAAATAACAGATACTGGGGACTCCAAAAGGGAAGGGGAGAATGGAGAGGGGTTGAAAATTAACCTACTGGGTACAATGTTCACTATATCAGTGAAGAGTATACTTTAGAAGCCCAGATCTCACTGTCACACAATATATCCATGTAACAAAGCTGCACATGTACCCTCTGAATCTAAAATAATTTTCCTAAAGAATGAAAAGTGGCTTTTTGAAAAAATAAACCAATAAGCCATGAGCTAGACCTGTTAAATTCCAATATCTGGATCACTCCCAAGTATGCTTATATTCTCTGGGTTTTTTTTTTTTCCATTTTTAATTATGCAACTCTGTCTTTCGATATGATTATTAATTTTGTATAGAATGAAAGACATATTTTCCTCTGCTAGGCATTTAAACCGAGGAGTAAGCACCTTAATCTGATCAGGAACTGAGCTTAATCAAGGCCAGGTTTCAGTCTGGGAAAGTTCTGTCTCCCTCTAATTCATCCACTCCCAAGGCACAACCCTACTCCTTTCAACTGAGATCCTGGGGTGTACACTGGGACTCTCTTCCCATCATGAGTCTTGAACATTAATCCTTGCCTCCTCAGCTTGGCAAGACTTAATGAGAAATGCTTTTAAGTTACTAGAAAAACGTATATCCAGTGTTAGCATAAATTACTGTGTAAGTCAGTCACAGAAATAACATACCTTTTTCTTCAGCAGTTTCAAAGTATATGTCTTCATCTAGCCAGAAGTTGGCTAAATCTGCCTATTTCTTGTTTTATAAATACAGTCATTTTGGAACACGGACATGCTCATTCACTTATTGCCTATGGCTGTTTTTGTGCTACGATGGCAGAGCTGGGTCAGTGAAAGGCCATATGGCCTACAAAGCCCAAAATATTTACTACCTAATCCTTGATGGAAAAAGTGTGCTGACCTCTGATCTATTCTTAACAAAGAAATCATAAAAAAAGCATTTTGCCATCCCAGCTACTTGGGAGGCTAAGGCAGGAGAATCGCTTGAACCTAGGAGGTGGAGGTTATCATGAGCTGAGATCACACCATTGCACCCCAGCCTGGGCAACAAGAGTGAAACTCCATCTAACAACAAAAAAAAAAGCATTCTGCCAAATATTTTCAGTTTGTACACATTAGTTCATAAATCCAATTATAAATAGGCCCAAATATTTGGTAATCCACATATCCACCCCAATTACAACATACTCATGCAACCATTTACAAAAATTATTAAAGGTAACAGAAACCTAAGAGATAAGCATCTAGGGCCACAGTGTACCTATGCAAGGAATTTTTAAAATTCTATCACATGAGAGTGGTTGAATGATACTGTAATGAGAAAAAGTGATCTCTCCCTGAATAAGGCAGGATTCCAACAGACAACAGACCGTCAAATTCATAGACCAATAGTAAAAGGCCATAAATGAATTGAGGAAAGCCAAAGTATTAGATCCAGTGAGAAACAGGGTACCTATGTATCACTGCCAAAGAGGAGGGTCACAACAAGTAGAGATTAAAGGGAAATAAAGGCAGAAACAGAAAAGGACAGACAGCTGGCAAAGGAACTCTAGGAGAGTCTAGGCTCAAGTTACATTTTAGAATTCATAAAGATTCCCAGTCCAATGCTTTCATTTTCAAAGTAACTCAGTTTACTCCAATTTCTGCTCCAACATCTACACAATCTAATACATACATAATAATTCTCCTGTCTCTCTTTACTATACTCCTTTACTTTCACATTTTTCAGCCAAAAACTGGCAGAGGAAAGAACAAAAATAGACATAACTCACAAAAATATTTATGTTATGCAACTTTGGTATTATGTATTAACCTAAATTACAATACTTATATAAACAATTATACTGCAATGTGATACCAGTTTATAACCACAAGAACATAAGCAATGTGAAGGACTGAGTCTAGCACAGTGCCTAGGATACAGTAGATACTTGAAAATAAATGAATGTTAAATAAGCTATGATATGTAACAGTAGTTAAAATAATAAGTATAAAAGCCAGAGATCAGTACCTAAAAATGTAATTAGTTCTCAAGTTATAAGGTTTTTTCTTTTGCTTGTCTTTTTTCCCTTTGCTTGTCAGCTGGTTGCCAGAACAAATAAAGATAAGAAACCAAGAGCTTAAGAATATTTTATTTATATTTGGAAGTATTTTAAAATAAAGGTAACAAATGTAATCTAAATTTTCTGTAGTTAAATATGTTCTAAGGCTGACTTTAATTTGTTATATATACATTAATTTGTTATATATATTTTAGTCTTATTCTTGATTTTGTTATATATATTTTATATAAATGTAAATGTGCTATATATGTAACATATATAAACATGTTATAAATATAACATATTATATGAATATAATGTATGTTATAAACGTATATATATGTATATATTTTAATGTAACAAATATATAAATTTTTTTTAATATATAACAATTCTTAGAATGTTTTATATCCAGTACATATTAAAACAGGTCTTACCTGTTTTTTTAAGGTATCATTCAATTCTTTCAATGCATCAAAAGAGGACTTCAGTCTCTTGGTTTCTCTATTCTTTTCCTTAAGAACTTCAGTTAAGTGTTCAACTTCTGCATCATGTTGCTAGGGGGAAAAAAACACTGAGCTAAAACTTCTAAAGCTTGTATATCACTAACACTGTGAAATATGAATTAATTACAAATAAGAACTCCTTCAATCACAAAAACTTTAATCACTGAATTTAAGCACAGCTGACTAGTGTGGCAAATAATTTATAAAAACCATGCAATCTACCAAAATAACAACAAAACATCAAAAGCATTTACAACATACTTATTAAAACATATTAGCATTTACAAAGTAGCAATGAGTCTATTTTCTGCTTCTGCTCAGAAAAACGCACTCACACGAACTCATGGAATATTTTGTTTGACATCATGGAATAATAAAACAATGAAGAATTTCTGACACTTTTCAAGAGATGAGTAAACTATGGCTTTATAAAGTGTATAATTTATATTATCCTTGAGAAGTAAATCTTTTATAAAGCCAACTGATTTCCTATTCCCATGAAGTAGATAAAATTTCTGATGCCTGCTTTTCATCTCAAAACATGTTAAATACATAATAAAATTTCTGAGCCCCAAACTATTTGACTCTTCTTAATCAGTTTTGCAAATAATTCAAATCAACTTCCCCCTAATTACATTTAAATGGGATAGCCTGTTTTAGATTTAAAATGTGATTACTTATAGTTTCACATTTCACTCTCAACTTACTCATAAAGTTTAAAAACAAGCCTCTATAGGAAATCAAAAAATTGAATTAATTTCCTTCTTCCAACTAATGATATAGATACAATGAAAATAAGATAATTATCTTTATATTTAATAAAAATAGTAGACACACAAATCTAAAGAGAGAGAATCAAGAATAAGACTGAAATGGAGACGTGAGAATCTAAGCATTCTTTAGCCCTGTGAAAAAAATCCAATATTCTAAAGAGTTAATCTTTGAATGATTTTGTTACTATAAATAATTCCTTAAATAACTTAGGATACAGTCACAAATACAGTTGTTTTTAAAACTAATATATTTTCATTGTCCAACTTTTTCCATATCTAAAACATATTAAAAACATACGCATTCCATTTCTAGCGCAGCAGGATAAGCTCAATAAACTCTTCTGCCACTGAATACAGCTAAAGGGCCTAAATAAAACGCAAAACAACTACCTGACAACTGTGAAAAGAAAAAAGGGGAGGACATTGTGCTGGGAGAGAAAACTTGGAGAAGTAACCCTCAAGGATAAAGCTTCCTCATTCTTGTTTTTCGTCTTCTCTCAACATTTTGCCCCAGGGTGGGTCCCAGACATGGAGAAGCAGAACAAAAACTTCAACTAGCTGGGCACAGTGGTGCACATCTGCAGTCCCAGCCACTCAGGAGGCTGAGGGAGGAAGACAACTTGAGGGTATGGTGAGCTATGATGACGTCTGTGAATAGCCACTGCACTACAGCCTGGGCAACACAGCAAGACTCCATCTCTAAAATTTTTTAAATAATTTTTTAATTTTCACTAAAGCTCTAAAAAAATTTCACTAAAGACTAAAAGAAAACCAGTCTTCCTGGCAGGAAAATCAGAAAGAAGGACCCATAGGACAGACAAAAAGCAGTAGAGCCAATGCTTGCAGAATGGAGCTCAGTTTAAAAATACTACCTAAGTCCTGGCTAACATTTCAATGCCTCTGACCTGCACAAAAAAGACCCAGAGCAGCACAGCAAAAGCTCTGAGAAATGCATTAGGATTTTAAACTGTTACCCAAGTTTCACACTAACCTTTAAGAGGCACAGGCACAATACAACTCCACAGCAACACTGCAAAGGCTTTGAAAGCTTAACTGAGATAAGAACCACTGCCCAGAGGAGGTGAGAAAAAAACTGAGGCCTGGCCAGGCAAGGTGGCTCACGCCTGTGATTCCAGCACTTTGGGAGGCCAGGGCAGGTGGATTGTTTGAGGTCAGGAGTTCAAGACCAGCCTGACCAACATGGTAAAACTCTGTCTCTATTAAAAACACAAAAATTAGCTGAGCATGGTGGTGGGCACCTGTAATCCCAGCTACTCGGAAGGCTGAGGCAGAAGAATTGCTTGAAGCCAGGAGGCAGAGATTGCAGTGAGCTGAGATTGCACCACTGCACTCCAGCCTGGGTGACAAAGTGAGACCATCTGAAAAAACAAAACAAAACAAAACAAAAAACTGAGGTCTAAATCTAATTGGGCTGAATGCTTTAAAATCAACAATATTCTCCAGAGGGCAACAATAGAACCCAAAACCTAAACATGATAACCGGAAGGTCTTGAGTATACCATAAAAATCACCGAACGTAAAAAGAACCAAAGAAAGTAAGCCTCAAAAAAAAAGAAAATTAACAGATCCCAATCTTGAGATGATACAGATGGATGTTTTAAACTATGCTCCATGAGGTAAAAGTAAATATACATAAATGTAAACACAAAGACAGAAATGCTTATGAGGAAAAAAAACATAAATTTTTAAAAGAACTTGAAATTTTAGAATTTTTAAATATCAGAAATGAAAATTTCACTAGATGGACTTAATAACAACATGAAGATTAAAAAAGAAATAATAAACTTTAAGATGAATCAAGAAACTATCTGGAGAATACCAAGAAAATAATGGGGAAAAAAGGAACAGAGCCCCAGAAATCTGTGGGCAAAGAGCACAACGAGTCACTAGAGATCCAGGAGGGAAGAAGAAAGAAAGTGGAAAAAATATTGGTGAAATATTGGCTGAAGAGTCCCCAAATTTGTCAAAATACAGAAATTTCCAAATTCAAGAAGCTCAGTTAACCACAAACAGAATAAAATGAAAGAAAAGTATGTCAAGAAACACTGTAAATAAAATGCTGCTGAAAACCAAAGATAAAGAAAAAAATCATAAAATGATGCTATTAACATGACATTCTGGAAAAGTGAGATGTACCAGGACAGAAAATAGGTCAGTGGTTGCCAAGTACTGAGGCTGGAGAAAAGGGATAGCTACAAGAGAAGTGTAAGGGAACTGGCTTTATCTTGACAATGGTTGTGATTTTAAAACTATGCATTTTTCAAAACTCACAGAAATGTACAACAGGCAATGAATTGTGCTCCAGGTAAGTTATACATACAGTAATGTATGTCTTGGGATGAATGAAGCAAGGTATATTATACCCCCTATATAATATCCTTGCCAAAAACATTTTATCTGCATATTATCATTAGGAAGCAATCAGGTAAATCCACAATGTGAAATATAAGACTGCTAGCTTGAATTCTTCAAAGAAAAATCTCACAGAAAACAAAAATGGTGAGGTTGAGTGCTCTAGATTCAAAGAAACCAAAAAAAAATATAAAACCAAATATAATGCATGAATCTTGTCTAGTTCCTTGATCAAACAAACAAAACCCAAAAAACAATAAAAGACATATTGAAGACCAACTGAGAGAGTATATGGACTATAAATAAGTTATTTAGTTAGCATTAATTTCCTCATATGCTAACCGTCGGGAGAATGCCTTTATTCTTAGGAGATACATACTGAGGTATTTAGGGACACAGCCGTGATTTTTACGAACTGCTTTCAAACAGTTTAGAAAAAAAGAGTGTGCCTGTGTGTGTGTGTGTGTGTGTGTGTGTGTGTGTGTGTCTCTATGTGTGGGTGTGGAAAAGAGGAGGAAGGAGAAATAAGCAAATGTGGCAAATATTAATAACTAGTGAATAGAAGAAATATACCACTCTAAAATCAAAAGCTATATAGTTACCTCTTTCATAATTTGAAATCTTGTTAGAACCTCTTCTTCGACACCTTTAATTTTACTCAAGGCATTTTCATGTCTGAAAAGCAGTTGTTCTCTTTCAAGTAAAAAATGTTCTCGCTTTTGAAGTTCCTCAGCAAATTTCTGTTGTGCTGCAGTTTCACACTGTATCAAAATGCCAGATTGTAATGCTCTTAAAAAGTCACAAATTCTGCAAATTATATTCCTATTGGCTGACACTGTGGTTTAACCAAGTGGTTTTCAGGAATATGGGAGTAACTAAGGACAACCTGGATTACAGTATCCAGACTAGTATACCAAGTAAACTTGTATAGAAATTCTATCTTGATATAAACGGATGTGACACTAATAAGAGTCCATTGTGATGATGCAAGAGAATTTGGGGTCCAAAATGGATCAATGTGGGAATTCTCTCAGGGCGGTGGCAAAAATATTAAGAAAAAAATAGTAGAGAAAGTTATAGAATATAGTTTCAAACCCTTTTGGAAGGCCTAAGTGTTTTTTCATAGTTTCAGTGGAAGTTTTGGCTGAAAGCAGCCTAACTCCCTTTACGTTTACTTAATAAGAAAAGCAAAGAGCTAAGGTATATGGGGGAGTTTATCTGAATAATTTGTTTATTCATGTGGGCTTAAAACTAACCTTTGAGCCAGATGGCCCTCTCGGGAGGAGGTTGACCAGGGTTATTACCCACTAATGGTGTTTGCTTTGGGCATTGGAACCTGTCCTTTAATCTTCTCACTCTAGTCGGGTTGACTCAAGCCTTTGTTAATTAAACTTTACTAAATAAATGCGAGTCTCACAGGCTGGTGGGGCCAGTGGCTACTATCTCTTTACAGTACTCTCCAGGGAGTCTGTAAGAAGCCACAGACCCTCAGCCGGACTGGCAAAGCATAATATCTGTGTGTCAGTGTACTTTATTCATCCGTCGCTGAGTCCTACAAACCCCCACAGGTAGTGACCCCAACAGATTCGTACTACACAGATTTAGTTCACAAGCCCGCTTCAATTCCATGCTCCACTTCCACATCATAAACTACTATTTTTCCTATGTCCTCCACTCCCTCACCTTGTTGTTTATCACCTTGGGCTGAAAGACCAAGGCCTGGATAAGCACTGACCACCTTTCCTGGCCCCATGCTACTCAGCTCAGCACCAGTGGGGGAAAAAAAATCACACACTGTGAAAAGTGGCCCCTTTGTGAATTCATGGTCTCAGTCCTGTACTAGATTCTTAATGTAATCCAAAAATCTTTTTATATGTTCACAGCCAGCACTCCAATCCTCATTCTCTAAAGTGTCTACTTTGAGCTTTCCCCATTTTATTAATTTGGAATACATTATGTCCTATATGCCACTCTCTGTAAATAGTCTAAATTCACAGAAAAAACAAAAAACAAAAAACAGAAAACAGCAAAAGAAAACATCAATCTCTTGGTCATAAAATACATATACACATGCTTCTCCTTCCCTCTCATTAAAAAGGCAGGCTCAGGACAACACTGCCTTAAGCCATCCTGTGAAGACAGCTGATTATCCCTCTTACTATTTTCTTTTGAGACAGAGTCTTACTCTGCCCCCCAGGCTGGAGCGCCATGGTGCAATCTAAGCTCACTGCAACCTCTCCACCTCCCAGGTTCAAGAGATTCTCCTGCCTCAGCCTCTTGAGTAGCTGGGGTTACAGGCATGTGCCACCACGCCCACCTAATTTTTTTGTATTTTTAGTAGAGACAGAGTTTCACCATGTTAGCCAGGATGGCCTCAATCTCCTGACCTCGTGATCTGCCCACCTTGGCCTCCCGAAGTGTTGGGATTACAGGCGTGAGCCACCACACCTGGCCCCCTCTATTATTTTCAATCTCTCCCACCTCATCTGAACTAAAAGCTTTCTTAGCCCCACACACTCATCTCTTCTCCTTTACAACCATCTACATTTGCTGAGGTCTCTTATTTCAGAATCATTCATCGACTCACTTCCGACTGGCTTCAGTCCACATTCCTCTATTGAAATGACTTACCTATTACTAAATCTAAAGGTCACTTTTCAGTCCTTATTTTGAGTCTTTCAACAGCATTTTATGCTATGGTCCCTCCAACTTAAAATACTCTCCTTCACTGGTTTCCACGATACCATTTTTCTAGTTTCCACTGCTATCTCTGGCCATGGCTTCTGAGGCTCCTTTGCAGGCTCTGCTTCCTCTACTGTCATTTAATTTGTCATTTAATTACTAATATTCCTCAGGATTTGGTCTTGAGCCATTTTCCTTCTCATTACTTATACTCATGTGTGTGTGTGTGTAAATATATGTATATTTTAAGTTCTGAGATACATGTGCAGAATGTGCAGGTTTGTTACATAGGTATACGTGTGCTATAATGGTTTGCTGCACCCATCAACCTGTCATCTACATTAGGTATTTCTCCTAATGCTATCCCTCCCTTAACCCTCCAACCACCAATAGTCCCCAGTGTGTGATGCTCCCCTCCCTGTGTCCATGTGTTCTCACTGTTCAATTCTCAGTTATGAGTGAGAACATACAGTGTTCGGTTTACTGTTGTCATGTTAGTTTGCTGAGAATGATGGTTTCCAGCTTCATCCATGTCCCTGAAAAGGACATCAACTCATTCTTTTTTATGGCTGCATAGTATTCCATTGTGTATACGTGCCACATTTTCTTCATCCAGTCTATTGGCTTCATTTGGGCTGGTTTCCAGTCTTTGCTATTGTGAACAGTGCCGCAATAAACATATGCATGCATCTTTACAGTAGAATTATTTATAATCCTTTGGATATATACCTAGAAATGAGATTGCGGGGTCAAATGGTATTTCTGGTTCTAGATCCTTGAGGAATCACCACACTGTCTTCCACAATGGTTGAATTAATTTACACTCCCACCAACAGTGTAAAAGAGTTCCTATTTCTCCACATCCTCTCCAACATCTGTTGTTCCCTGACTTTTTAATGATCGCCTTTCTAACTGGTGTGAGACGATATCTCACTGTGGTTTTGATTTGCATTTCTCTAATGACCAGTGATAATGAGCTTTTTTTCATATTTCTTGGCCGCATAAATGTCTTCTTTTGAAAAAAGTCTGTTCATATCCTTTGCCCACTTTTTGATGCGGTTGTTTTTTTCTTGTATATTTGCTTAAATTCTTTGTAGATTCCGGATATTAGCCCTTTGTCGGATGGACAGATTCCAAAAACCTTCTCCCATTCTGTAGGTTGCCTGTTCACTCTGATGATAGTTACTTTTGCTGTGCAGAAGCTCCTAGTTTAATTGGGTCCCATTTGTCAATTTTGGCTTTTGTTGCCATTGCATTTGGTGTTTTAGTCATGCAGTCTTTGCACATGCCTATGTCCTAAATGGTATTGCCTAGGTCTATCACAGATTAGATGGTTGTAGATGTGTGGTATTATTTCTGAGGCCTCTGTTCTGTTCCATTGGTCTATATGTTTTGGTACCAGTACCATGTTGTTTTGGTTACTGTAGCCTTGTAGTATAATTTGAAGTTAGGTAGCATGATGCCTCCAGCTTTGTTCTTTTTGCTTAGGATTGTCTTGGTTATAAAGGCTTTTTTGGTTCCATATGAAATTTAAAATAGTTTTTTCTAATTCTGTGAAGAAAGTCAATGGTAGCTTGATGGGGATAACATTGAATCTATAAATTATTTTGGGAAGTATGGTCACCTCCACAATATTGATTCTACCTAACCATGAGCATGCAATGTTTTTCCATCTGTTTGTGTCCTCTCTTATTTCCTTGAGCAGTTGTTTGTAGTTCTCCTTACAAGGTCCTTCACATCCCTTGTAAGTTGTATTCCTAGGTATTATATTCTGTTTGTAGCAACTGTGAATGGGGGTTCACTCATGATTTGGCTCTCTGTTTGTCTTTTATTGGTATATAGGAATGCTTGTGATTATTCCACAATGATTTTTGTATCCTGAGACTTAGCTGAAGTTACTTATCAGCTTAAGAAGATTTTGGGCTGAGACGATGATAGGGTTTTCTAAATATACAATAATGTCATCTGCAAACAGAAATAAGTGGACTTCCTCTTTTCCTATTTGAATACCCTTTATTTATTTCTCTTGCCTGATTGCCCTGGCCAGAACTTCCAACACTATGTTGAATAGGAGTGGTGAGTGAGGGCATCCTTGTCTTGTGCCGGTTATCAAAAGGAATGCTTCCAGCTTTTGCTCATTCAGTTATTGGCTGTGGGTTTGTCAAAAATAGCTCTTATTATTTTTAGATAGGTTCCATCAATACCTGGTTTATTGAGAGTTTTTAGCATGAAGGTGTGTTGAATTTTATCGAAGGCCTTTTCTGCATCTACTAAGATAATCATGTGGTTTTGTCATTGTTTATGTGATGAATTACGTTTATTGATTTGCGTATGTTGAACCAGCCTTGCATCCCATGGATGAAACCAACTTGATCATGATGGATAAGCTTTTTGATGTGCTGCTAGATTCAGTTTGCCAGTAGTTTACTAAGGATTTTCACATCAATGTTAATCAGGGAGACTGGTCTGAAATTTTCTTTTTTAGTTATGTCTCTGCCACGCTTGGTATCAGGATGACGTTGGCCTCATAAAATGAGTTAGGAAGGAGTCTCTCTTTTTGCATCATTTGCAACAGTTTCAGAAGAAATGGTACCAGCTCCTTTTTGTACTCTGGTAGAATTCAGCTGTGAATCCGTCTGGTCCTGGACTTTTTTTGGTTGGCAGGCTATTAATTACTGCCTCAATTTCAGAACTTGTTATTGGTCTATTCAGGGATTCGGCTTCTTCCTGATTTAGTCTTGGGAGGGTGTTATGTGTCCAGGAATTTATCCGTTTCTTCTAGATTTTCTAGTTTATTTGCATAGAGGTGTTTATAGTA